TTTAAAAATATGATTTTTCTTTGTTAGAAATGCTTAAGATTGTGTAAATAATATATAAAAACTGATTTTTAAATAGCCAAAAGAGAGTCTCAACATTAATAACTACTTTGAATGTCTTATATATATATATATATATATATATATATAATACATAAAAGGTTAATGGTCAGAGTTGAATTAGACCAGGAAACAGTGGTATTAAAAAGTGATCAATACACATGTGAAAGAAATAGAATAAAAATAAAAATAACATGTCATGCTTTTAACTTTAAAAATCAAATGATCAGTTGAATCTGCTACCTTCACAGTATCCTCAGGTGATTTTTATCAAATGACCTCTTAGTCTTAACACTTTTTTTTTTAAAAATATTAATGAACCCTATATTATTTTTAAAAAAATAAATAAATGCACAGCATTGGATGTAATAGAAAGGGAGGAGGATTATGATATTTCCAGATCCAAGGAATCTTTTCAACCAGAAAAACCAAAGTCTTAAGTTCTTGCATACATATTAAGAAATTCCTCTTAAACACATATGAGGCTAGATAAAAAAAAACAAAAAAACGTACATTTTATTTAACCTCTTACTAATACATTTATAATACCCTTGCTTTTCTTCTCTTCCCTCTTCTACTTTCTCTCCTTCCTTCTTCATATCCTACTTTCTATTACACCCAACATCATGTGCTTGTTTGATTTATTTATTTTAAAATAATATAGCATTCATTATTTTTTTAAAAAAATTAAGTTAAGACTAAGTGGTCATTTGATAAAAATCACCGGAGGATGTCTTAATGTTGAAACCAAGATAGCAGATTCAACTGACCTGATTTTTATATTATATATATGTATATATTTTATAATAATCCTTTCTAGTTCTCTAATTAGCTTTCTGATGTTAAGTTGAAATTCATCAAGGAAAGCACCATAGTTTTTCCTTACTCAAGTAAATTCAATCTCCTCCATGATAATCCTCAAGGGTGAATTTCAAAGACAAACTATTTGTAACTAATTGTTATGACGGTGATTTTTGAAAACACATGTGAACACACTGTGCTATATTTTAAAATTTTAAATATATCCATTGCAGTTATGGTGTTTTTACAAACAAGCATCCACAATAAAGGGAGCTAACCAGAGATGGTAGAAATGCAAAATGGCATTAAATGTTAGTCAAATGCATTTTAAAACCTTGCTGATACACATATAATACATTTTGTTCAGTGTTGTTTGGTTGCTTTTGATATAGAGGGCCCCAAGCATTTGAAGTTTTTCTTTATTATTTTCATGATGTAGTAAATTGATGTTGTCAACAAGTATTTTCTTGTTTTGTGAAGGTGGACAGGAATGTGTTTTTAAATGTTGTGCGATAGAACTTGTATCCAATAAATAGAGTGTTAGACATTTTGATAATGCCATGGTCATAAAACCAACATATGGACTTACGTTTTTTGTCAGAGATACAGTCTCAAAAAGGACATTGAAACTGGTATACAATGTTGGTCTTTTCCAAAACACTACTTGATGGAGAAGAGTTATTGCATATGATTAAGTTGGTTAATTTAGTATAATATATATTTTATTTTTTTACTAGGAATACATTAGTACTTATGAGATTTTTTTTTATCTTGTTTATAGTTAGAATTCTAACCATAATAGAATTTTAACTATCAAAAGGAATTGGGTAAAGAAAAACTATGGCACCTTCCCTGATGAATTTCAACTTAACATCAAGAAGCTAATTAGAGAACTAGAAAGGATTATTATCAAAATAAATACACATGATATGTCTATATTATTCAATGAAACACGCACACATACATCTATCTATCTATCTATCTATCTATCTATCTATCTATCTATCTATCTATCTGCTTAAAAGATAGTTACTGTTTTGAATATTTATACAAATTATTTAATGAAATCTTTAATGTTGATCCTGTTGTACTTACCTACTTCCTCTGTAAGTTGTGTATCACGTTCCTTAAAAAAATACTTCAACCACTTTAAAAATTCAAGAACAGTGTGGATTCATTAAAGACAACAGAACAAGCAACACAATCTTCATGCTCAGAATGTTATCAGAAAGTGCATTGCAAATGTAGGAGGACATGTTTCATAGACTACAAAAAGGCCTTCAGCAAAGTATGCCACAAGGTTCTGTTGGAACTGCTCAGCAACCTTGATATATTCGGAAAGCTGTTAGAATAATCAAGAACTTATACTAGCAGCAAATAGCATGCATGTGCATAGAGAATGAGTTCAGTGAATATACAAAAACAGAAAAGAGTGTAAGACAAGGATGCATCTTCTCACCAGACCTATTCAACCTATACAGCGATGAAATTCTCATAGAACTAGAAATCCTACCAGGGTCTGTCATTGGTAGCCACAATCTCAACAACATAAGATATACAGATGACAAAGTGCTGATAGCAGACATAGAAAGGAAACTACAAAACCTCCTACAGAAGGTAGCAAAGGAGAGTGAGAAGAAGAGACTAATTATAAACTACAAGAAAACAGTCATCAGTAAAAAGATGAGCCCAAAATTTGATTTGCAGGTCGGGGACACTAAAATCAAGCAGGTGCAGAAATTTAAATATCTGGGAAGTGTTTTGACAGAGGATGGCAAGTGCAACACTGAGATCTGCATATGTATTGGGATGGCCAAGGATGCATTCCAAAAACTGGGCAGAGTATTGCGAAACAGGAGCATCTCTTCTGAAACAAAGAAAACAGTACTATGCTGTTACATAACATCTTATTTCCTTTATGGCAGTCTCCTCAAAGATGAAGAAGAGACTCGAGGTGACAGAGATGTGGTTTTATAGATGGATGCTAAGGATATCATGGACCGAGCGTGTGAGCAGCGATGAGGTCTTAGAGAGTTTGCAAGTAGGCTTTTAATTAATATCAAGAAGAGGCAGTTGAAGTTCCTGGGACACATAATGATAAAAGAGGGCCTGAAGAATCTGATACTCACAGGTTGAATAAAGGGAGAGTGAGATAAGGGAAAACAATGTGTGACATACCTCATGGACTTAAGCAAGTGGATGACAGAACATGGTCTGGGAGAGGAAGCAGAGCAAAGGAACTTGTTGAAGCTGCAAGGGATAGAGCAAGGTAGAGAGCCATGATTGCCTAAGTCCTGAAAGAACACAGCACATAAAAAGAAAGAATATTAACCATTTCTTTTATAAGGAAATTTCGACATTTATGGACCAAGCAGCCAGTATTACTGTTGGTTGAAATTCATAAAACCTTTCTCTTAAAACAGTTTTTCTTAAAAATACATTTCTCATTTCCAATAGTTGTTATTGCTCTTTCCACTATTGATGGAGGTTTCCTTCCTAACCTTTATTCAAAGTAGTGTGGAATGTCAGCATCTTGATGGAATCCTTATTTTCTTTTTGAGCTACATTTTGAAAGTCCTCAACTGATGTGGCTTCAGTTATTTGGTAAAGTTCTTTCAGGAGAAATAAGACTCAATGTTTGTTTTTCTTTTGTCTCAATCTCTTTACCCTCATTATCTTCTGCTCTATCTGTTTTCCCATCATACCCCTGAATCGATACTTCAAATATACAAAACAACCATTCACCCTTGCATGGAGTATTGCTACCATATATGGGCTGGGGCACCTTCTGCTTACCTCGGAGTTCTTGACAAGATCCAGAGACGGATATGTAATCTAATTGGCCCTGATCTAGTGTCTCGTCTGCAGTCACTCTCTCACAGACGTCTTTTCTGTCTTTTCTACAAATACTTCCATGGTAACTGCTCTGATGAGCTGCTTTCACTGGTTCCCAGACTCTATGAATTCAAGCGCCCTACGAGGCTGGCATCCCGCTCCCACCCTTACACCGTAGAAACTTTCAAATGTAGCCGTCTCTTCTACTCCAATAGCTTCATACCTCGCATCTCTCGCCAGTGGAACACCCTCCCCAGTTACTGCTTCCCTGAAGGCTATAATCTCTAACTATTCAAATGTAATGTCAATCGACATCTCCAGTTACCTTGATCTACCCACTATCCTTCTCCTCATCCTTTCTCCTATCACTCCTATCTGCTCTCACTCCAAATCTTCCGCAACCCCCTGCATCCTAGTGGCTTCACGCCTTGCTTGGGGCGTAATGCTTAAAAAAAAAATTAAAAAAAAAAAAATCTTCTTTCCAAATTCTTATTTTTCCCAAATCTTTTGTTGTGTAGAAAAGAATAGATAAGCAGTAGATTGCTATACTGTGTGTGTATATATGTGGAATATTTTTCATTGAGAGCACTGATATTACACTGATTGTCAAGAGAATATTTTTATATGAATGTTAACCCAATACAAGGCTGAAGAGTCACTCAAAGTAGAGGGTAAATGAATAATTTGTGTGATATAAATGTAAGAGTAGGAAGTGAAGATTATGAGGAAAGGGAGGATAGATAATCCTTTACCCCTGACTTGAAGAGGGTAAGGTTGTGTTTTGGGGAGGGAATTATCTAGTCAGAAGTGCCAATCCATGCTTACATAATCCCATTGTTTTGTACATAAACTATGAAAGTTCACTGGTTAGTCTAAAATAGCCAGTTTAAGTGCATCAGTCATGAGAATCTAATCTGTAATTATTTGTTTTTTGTTTATTTTTTTAAGTAGAATTTATATATGGTTTTTAAATGATATTTAATTTTTTATTTTTAATCAAAAATATTTCCTGTTTTTACTTCTTTTTTAATTGATTGATATATTTTCTCCAGCTTTTTAGACTATTGCAGGTTATTTAAAGATAGAAAATATTTTTATGTTGTAAGAATATTTTTTTTTGAGATAATAATAGTTTAGTTATAAAAGTCTTACTAAATTAATCCCTAGCTGGGAGGAGGAGAGGTGGATTCATGCCTTCCCCAAGGATATTTGTGTGTAAGTGACTATAACAAACCCAACTGGAATTGACACTTGGCTCTCTGATTAACAATTCCTAACCATAATCTGTTACACCAGTTGTATCTAAGCTTACAGCACTTGGTATTCCCAAGCCATCACTCATCTAGGTACTGACCAAGCTCAATGTTGCTTAACTTTAGTGATCATACAGGAACTGGTATTTCACTGTAATGTAGTTGTTAGTGAAATTTTTTCATGTAACTAAGATAAAAAGGTAAAATAATTAATCTCCAGTGACTAATATGAGGGGTGCGTAATAAATGGGAGGATATAATTAAAAATAATTCTTTCAAATCATAACAAGATCTTGAAGATATAAAACTACAAATAAATGTTCAGCAATATCTTTAAGTAAAATGAAAATATTTTGGTGAAGTCTTGTCTATATTACAAGATAAATATTACTTGGTGTATGGAGGCATTATAAGTTCTAATGGAGTTAAAAAAAAATATTAATAAAGAAGGACATTTATTTCTCACCTGTGAGTGCATTTGATTTTTTTGTATTTTTGTAATTAACTGTTTTGTGGTAGCTGCTGTAAAGGATTATTGTCTCAGTGGTTGCTGCAGCTTTGTTTTGACTATGAATATGTTTACTGCTAATCCCTCTTAGAGTAAAAACAAGACAAAGAGAAGACTGATGAAACTTTACCATTATTTTTGTTGTATAAGAGTAAGTATTGTGCTGACACTGTGGTTTGAACTTAGATTGTTAGTGAGCAACACAGGTGATTAAGTAGATCATGTGATCATAAAGGAAGTGAATAAATAGGAAGTAGCATGTTGACTAAGTGACCACTATTCCTCTTCTATACTCTACTACTCTATGATTCACTATTCCACCTCTATCCTCTATTGCTATACAACCACAACTTCTCCTACTATATGGATTATGATTCTCTACTGATCATTATACTATTCGGCGATTACTACTTGAACAAGTATTGCTAGTGTAAATATTACTGGAAGGCATTACTATTACTATTACTAGTACTGGCATTTATGAAGTCTTGACTACAACAAACATTTTTGAAGTGATAATGAGATTTCGTTTCACATAACAAAAGTGTTGGGGCCACCCACTTTCTCATGAGAATGGACTGATCTCTCTACGATATAGGACAGTGCTAGAGAGTTCTAGGGGAGATCAGGTGACCATCACACTTCCGTCTCTCTACCGGAAGATACAGTTGGACTTTAGACTCTTGCTGATTGTTACTGACTAACCTGCGTTCGTTTGACTACTAATCTCTCTGTTGTAAATACCTCTTCAAATATACCAGTATTTTTCCCTACATATGTGTTTGTCCTTATTTGAATACACGCATGTGGAAACACTCCCAACATCTCAACAAAAAGTGACATTCAAAGGCATCCAACATCACAAAATTGTCAAAACACAGAAATAAGCAATGTCTAACAATTTGAATAAAATTTGATAACAATAATGGCAACAGTTAAGTGAAAAAGAAAAGGTGTTCATAAAAAGTTGAAGTGAATTCATAAAAGGACTATTGCAATCAAGTTTGAGAAAACAAATGTCTGTGTATGTATGGATATGTGAGAGTGTGCATAATATGTGTAGGTAAAATAAGATTACAATTGTGTATGCATGTATATTCAAATGAATGAATATGTATCTGCACCTAATCTTGAATTGTTTATACTGGTATGTTTGTATGAACTATAATATGTACACCTGTATGCATGTGTGTCTGTGTGTGCCAGTGTCAGCCCAAAACAGAGACAGAGATCTCCCCATCACCAAACATAACCAAATATAAACAGATTCAATTTTCAAAAAATAAACCAGTTTGTCTGATGATCACAAAAGTGTGATATATATATATATATATATATATAAATTCCTATATAGAAAATCCATATATATGTATTGTTATATAGGAATAAAGTGTCGATGCTGACACTTGAGTTTGAACATAGATCGGCAGTGAGCAAACACAGGCGATCCCATTATTGAATGAAGTGGACCACATGACCATAGAGGAAACACATGTAGGAAGCTGCGTGACATCTATACATTCACTATTTCTACTCTATCCTCTATTACTATACAGGTCGCTATTCTGTAAACTATTCACTATACTATTTCTCTATTCAGATCACTATACGGGTTACTTTCTGAGCGAGTATTATTGAGCAAGTACTATTAGTGTGAGTGATATTCGAAGGTGTGTGACACCAGTCTTATTCAATGGCATACTACAGTTGTATCTGCAGTTACAAAGTCTCTACTACAACAAGCATTACAAAAGTGACAATGAGTATTTGTTGACATTACAAAAATGACAACGAGTGTTCATGGACATCACATAATATATATGTATATATGAGTGCATGTGTATATATTTATTAGTAGAAGTAACTCACTTAAGAGATTTCTTTTTCTGCATTCAACGTAGTTGCTGTTTGGGTCAAAACTTTTATCTTGCTTGTGTTGCTCTGAGTGAGTGCCCAAATATGCCATGTGTGCTTGTGGGAAAATGAAATAAAACCAATAAATAAAATAATAAAGAAAAAGTATAATGCAAGTTATAAAGAAACTGAAAAGGGTTTCTGGTCACATGCACAATTTTATGACCCCCACTTCTGGAAAGGACATAATCTTTTTCTTTCCACTTTCCAACAACATCATTCTGATGGGTTTTGGCAGCCCTACTCATGAAGAAAGTAATTTGGTCATCCTAACTCAGCACAAGACTAACTTGAGCTCATCCATTTTTACCAGTTCTTATCCTTACTTACCATAATGTACTTCAGATCAAAAAAGAAAATGAACATACCCAAGAGACAGTCACCATAAAAGGAATAAATGTCCATAGCAGAAACTCCAGTTTTTGTATGCTTCTTCTTCTTCATTTACATATTGAATATGCAACTTCACCTAAAACACACACAAACCCTACAACCTTGTTAACCTCCACATGCTGCTTTTGGTTATTGTGAGTATTTCTGTGTGTACTCTTTGTTAGACCCCTGAGCAGCCTTAGGTGAATTTTTAAATAGGCCAGAGATAGGCTCCAAATAAGTACCAAAATTTAATATATTTTTGTTCGAAGTTCATATTGGTTTGGTATGCTTAATACTACATCTGTATTGAGTGACAACAAGTCTGCTTTTATGTGTCTATTTTTAGACAATGATATTGGGAATTTGAAAATGTATTTTTATTTAATTATTTTTGTTTATTTTTGAAGCCCAAATAGTAATTTTAATCTACATTAACATCTTCAGCAATTTCTGCCCATGTTTACTATAAAATTAAATTGTATTTCAGTTGACTGATTTAAAAACTGTTTCTTAAACAGTGAATAATCAACATAATGAAAATTTAAGTCGCTTCTTTATTACTCTTTTATGAGAAAGGATAGTTCTTTGCTATCAAGATTTCTTTTTCAACACTACTTGCACATTACCTTAAAATACTCAGATCAGCTTGTAATTTGAAAATTTTGACGATAGATGAAGGAAAAATAGTGACCTCACAGAAAAGACTGAGAACAGCAGCAATTGCTTTTGATTTATGACTAAAAGATGGCTGCAAAATATTTGACTGCAGATTCTATTGTCACCATTTAATATGTTCTATTTCTTAAAAAAAATAAACATAATGTAATTTTTACTGTATTCTAAACAAGATGAATATTATATACATTTTATCGCTTCTTTTTTTTCCAGTAATCTACAGACAAATTTATGAATTCTTCAGTATTGAAAAGAGATTATGCATTTTTATTGAATTCAGTTTATTTATATATATGTATATTCTAAATAACATGTGTGTATAGTATATATATATATATATATAATGCATCAATAAGTACATGGCCTTAGGATGCAAAAGCATTTTACATAATAAATATCTATTTTTCAAAATAATTTCTTGCCTTTTCAATTCATTTGTGTGAGGAAGACAAATCACATCAAGTAAACATTATGTAGTGAAAATTTCAGATCAAAATTAATCTCATAACTAACTAAAGTTCAGGCTACAGAATTACAGGTCCATCCTTGTACAGCCCATTCATTTGCAAATCAGCCTTAAAACATGAATTCATGATATTGTTATTATTATTATTATTATTATAGTTTATTAACTTTGATAGACTTTTTTTTATCTTTGAAAAGCAGTCTTGAGAAATCAGTAAATAATATTTACTTGCAGAAATTCCTCAATATTTGTTCACAAAATTGCAGCTGAAAAGAATTTAGCAATGGAAAAGATGAGATTTATTGATTGTTTATTCCAACAAGCATAATGTATAAACCATGCCAAAAGTTTCTACCATTTGTAGCTGAGCAATGAAACTGCAATGATAGAAATTCCTTTCATTTACAGTTAATAGGGAGTTGTATGAAATGTTTTCTCACCATAAAATGATGGATGAAAAAAATATGACAGCAAAAGAGCTAACTGGTTATCACTCCTTGCTCTTTTGTTTTTTATCCTCAACTGAGCTCTGAAGAGCAGGGAGCAATAATTGGTTAGCTGTTTTATGTTATTTCATTTTTGTTGTTATATTTTTTCAATCCTTGAAGTGTTTACTTATCCTTGTTTTTCTTCCACTTTGTTTTATAACTTTTTGTTTATGTTTATATATACTTTTAAAATGTCCATTTTCACAGCTCTAATGAAATTTTGTACCTCACCCTCCAAGATTATTGGGATGTGTTCTACAGAAATTACTCAATTAAGTTAGAAAAGAATCTTCAGATTTGATTAGATTTTTTTCTTTTTTTAACCAATTCACCCCAAACAAGATGATAATGCCACTAAGATGCAAGGGCCTACTGGAAGCGAGAGAGAATAAAAAAGACTTTAGAAAGAACCAAAAGCACAATCTTAAACAAGAAATAAGTGATAAACTTCTATTCTTGTTCAAAGGACAAGGGAAGTGTGTGAACTGGATGATAATTGAACCTGTCTACTCTTGTTAAAGGTTCACCAATTTTTCATTGAATTATTTCTTTTTATATACATTTTGAAATAAGTATCTGGTTTTACTAACATATATTTAAAATGTGTGTAAACTATACACACACACACACACACACACACACACACATATATAATGTTGTAGCATACCTATGGACAATAATTGGTATGTCCCCATTCACATAAATAAATTGTGGAATTCACTTGACT